TTTACAAGCTACAAAAAAGGTCCTTTTCAAAAATGTCCTATCTCCTTTAGATGACGAGATTTTCCCACTGTTTCATTTTGCCCCATGCTCCCCTATGTTATATTGAATAAAAACATGGTTAAACAAAAAAAAATGTGCAAAGGCTCAGACTGGTAACCTAAGGGTTGTGGGTTCAACCCCCACCTCCACCTTCGCATTTTTCCTCATATTTCTTCAATTTGTTCATAAAAAAAATGACAAATAAAATAACTTGTTTGGAAACTATCCGTTTGCTGTAAATAAAAACACGAATAGACATTTATTCTTTATTACGAGATATGGGAATAAATAAATTCATTTCATTTAAATAGACTTCATTTAATTGAAATAAATTATTCCTGAGTGTTTCACTCCGAGACGACGATGAATCCTCGAGGCAGTGAGGCTATCCCGCTAAAGGATACGAACTTATCCTTCTGCAAACGGTTGAGCCAATGGGTATAAGCGTCGTTGAATGGTGACATTTAACGCCGCAGTAGGGTAGACAGACGGTACAACAGGCCACCAACAATATTACGCAAGATTACGGAATTCTCGGACGGACGGAGCGGGTTTACAAGTTTGAGAAACATAGCTCAGTGATTTGAATATCGAGCTCGAGCCCACCAGTCGGCCCAACTCCTCTAATACAATGAGGAGAATTTATATTTTTATTTTTTAGTTAAAAGATTCATTTTTCGATCAGACATGTTGACTTACCCTTTACCACCCGCGCGTCTGGACACAGATACGTTGAACTCTCACTTCGGGATATATCGATGGAGTCATTAGCATATTAGCGAGCTCATGGGGGCTTACGTAACACCTCTACTTTCTTTATCTTGCGCATGAACCAGAGATCCTCTTCTCACTCATCATCATCATCATCATCGTCTGATGGGTTTTTGAATGGTTTTATGTTTGGTTTAACGGCCGGTGGGTGGAGGGGAAATTGAATGGGACGAGTTTTTCTTTAAATATCTCGGGAGTTGATGAAGATAGCAAAATTTTCGTGAGAATGTTTTTTGTGTAATAGCGCCACGGCTAGAAAAAAGGTTCTGATGAAAATTTGCCTGGCTCAATAGGATTACAAGATATTTTGCAAAAAGTGATGACAGAAAATTGAGTTGTAGGGGAGGATGCGATTGGTCCGATGAAAAGACCAATATCGCCTGACCGGATGGTACGATTTAGTTGAGTCAGAACTCATGTTGAATCTTGAGATACCCTCAAAATTATTGAACTTTACCTTTTCGATCTAGAATTATTCACGATTAACAATGATCTAATTTCGACCCCGTTCTTTCATTTTATTCTATTATCACGGGAAAGAAGAGAGATAGTGGAATTTTTGTAGAAAATTTTTTTGTAGTTCTTTTCTCGCTCTTCAAAACATATTATTACAAAAATTTTGGTATCTCCCTTGGATTTTGAGATATTTATCAAAAACCAAACTAATCGAAAACTTGACATTTGCTATTTCATCGCTTGATTTTCATTTTGCTTTATGGAAAATACCTCCAGATCCAAATGAGGTGGCGGAACTTTTTGAAAGACTTATTTGTAGAGAAAATCGACAGCTCCAAAAAAGATCTTAGCAAAAAGTTGGCTATCTCCAACAGACAAGGAGATATTCATATAAAAATCAAAAGTTCATTCTGTTCCTCGATGACTGATTAGATTTATTGTTCATTTACGCACAGTTTTAAACACTCACGGATAACTACTCAAATAATGCAATATGGAGAATTAATGGGACTGGTGCAACCACTTTAATCATCTGTATATAATTTTTTAAGATGACTCGGGGACAACCGTTGCGAGAAAACTCGTTTGTTTGAATCTGGTAGTCAAATGAGGAGGATGAAAGGGAAATTATGACTGTGAGGCCTTTTTCCATTGAGTATTTATGGAAGAGTTAATGCCGAATGTCGAATGGGATTTGTTTACGTTCCTGGTGACATTCCTATGAATTTATTCTTATCGTTTTGGCATCAGTTATTTTCATCGCTGATTTATAGAAAAAATTATTCTCATATTCCGGAGAATTTACGGTGGGGAATTTTTCTTATGGGTAATGACGATTTTTATTCGGTTGCATTGAGTCGTTTCATTTATTTGATGGGCAATATTTTAGTTGCAAATCTAAATTGATCATTTTTAAATCATTATTGGGGTATAAATTTACTCTTATGGGATATGGGTACATATCGAGAATTTAGTGACTATTTTTGTCATGGCTCGGGGTTCTGAATGTCAACTACTGTTTCTCGATGATTTTCTGATATTTATGTGATGAATTCCCTTAAAGCGGCGAGAATCAGTGATTTATTTATTTCGATAGTCGTAAACAGAATGAAATATTTCTGTTAACTGTGTGATTCTCTTGAAATTTAATGGTTTACGGGGCAAATTTATCGGGATATTTTTTTCTCAAACCGGATGAAAAAACAGATTTTATTCATCATCCGAATTCAAGATTCAAGGAAATGGAAAAAATTGAGCTTTTTGAAAAGCAAAATGAACGAGTGGTTTTAGTGAAAAATTTGGAAAGATGTTTATTTTTCTCGTTTTGGCATCAGAATTTGTAGAAAAAATTATTCTTATATTCCGGAGAATTTACGGTTGGGAATTTTTCTTATGGGTAATGACGATTTTTATTCGGTTGCATTGAGTCGTTTCATTTATTTGATGGGCAATATTTTAGTTGCAAATCTAAATTGATCATTTTTAAATCATTATTGGGGTATAAATTTACTCTTATGGGATATGGGTACATATCGAGAATTTAGTGACTATTTTTGTCATGGCTCGGGGTTCTGAATGTCAACTACTGTTTCTCGATGATTTTCTGATATTTATGTGATGAATTCCCTTAAAGCGGCGAGAATCAGTGATTTATTTATTTCGATAGTCGTAAACAGAATGAAATATTTCTGTTAACTGTGTGATTCTCTTGAAATTTAATGGTTTACGGGGCAAATTTATCGGGATATTTTTCTTTCAAACCGGATGAAAAAACAGATTTTATTCATCATCCGAATTCAAGATTCAAGGAAATGGAAAAAATTGAGCTTTTTGAAAAGCAAAATGAACGAGTGGTTTTAGTGAAAAATTGGGAAAGATGTTTATTTTTCTCGTTTTGGCATCAGAATTTATAGAAAAAATTATTCTTATATTCCGGAGAATTTACGGTTGGAAATTTTTCTTATGGGTAATGACGATTTTTATTCGGTTGCATTGAGTCGTTTCATTTATTTGATGGTTAATATTTTAGTTATAAATTTAAATTGAAAATTGCTCAGTCATTACCGGGAGATAAATTTACTCTCATGGGATATGGGTACATATTGAGAATAAGTGACTATTTTTGTTGGTCATTTTCTGTCATTTATGTGCTGAATTTCCTTTAAATGCCGAGAATCAGTGATTTATTTGTTTCAATAGTCGTAAAAGGAATCAAACGTTTCTGTTAGATCTGTGATTTTCTTGAAAATTAATGGTTTGGAACTATTCATCACTCACATTCAAGATTAAAAAAAAATCAAAGAAGCGATTTTTTGGAAATGTCAATTCTCTATTCAAAAATTTTTTTTTAATGTCGAAAGACACTTTTATTGAGATCTAATAAATTAGTTCTATTATATTGTCATTTGAATTATTGCTATTCGTGTTAATTGAGATACGTAAAATATAAAAAATTTGCTCTACCGTCAATGATAAAAAAGTCAATTGCATAAAATAATTGATTTATCACTCAATTAATAAAAACCACTTTCCAAACTTATTCCTGACTACGTCCCTACGCACACAAATCCATCTTGCGTTTTCTCCCTCGATATCAATCATATACCTAAGATTTCAATCTAATGTTTTACGAGACATTTAATTTCCCCCGTCTCCCATTAAGCCGCAATTAACGAATTTCTTCACTCCAGCATCACAACGAATTTCCAATCCCAATGAAATTCTCAGACCTTAATTACGCCTCGCGAATTGATTCGCGAATAAAATGACGAAAATTCCCTAAATGAAGACTCATTTCTCTCAGACGCCTCTCATGAGTTCGCGGAAGAAATATCTTGAATTGAATTTCTCCCAAACCGCGAGTACTCATTACGTGTCACACTTGACATTCGCGGATGTATCGAAAGTTTTTTGTGCCCCGAAGAGGTTCCGAATGGGGAATGTGTGTCGATGGTCTAAAAATAGTCTCTAAAATTGTATTTCAATCAATGAGTAATGAGTTTAATTGATCAGTTCAATTAATCAGATAATTTTATTGCGCGGAAAACAAATACTTGAAGTGAGTATATTTTATACCGATTGTATATTTTTTTTCGTGTGGGAATGATTTTTTTTAGCTTATAAAAAGTTGCAAATGGTTCAGTTAGAAAAATGATTTAAATCTGTTTAAAATAGCTGAATTGTTTGAGAATCTGTTTGAGAAATGAATTTTTATATTTCATTCAAAAAATATCAATCATCATTTCGTCCAGTATTTATTATTTTTTATTCCATGTGCTCAAAAATATATATTTTTTAATATTTCACACTTATTTTTTCAAGAGTGGAATAACATCAGAAATTCCATTTCAAATACTATTTCATGACAATTAGCAATTTGAAATCTTATTTCCATCTGATTTTGATGAAATACTCCCATCGAAATCGAAAGTACTCTATTCCCTAAAGAGGGCACAAATGGTAAATACGTCGTAGGCAGTATCGAATGATTTTCGTATTGTGATGAGAGCCGTCCGCCAATCTGTTTTTTCACTCACTCCATTGGAAAGAGAGAGCTCCAGTGGGAGGAGACGGGCGGTATTTCGACACATCTGAGAATTTCGGCAGAATGCTCTCGGGAAGATGAGTGGAAGAAGGATTAAATAATGGGGGTACGAGTGGGGAACCCGATTAAATCGATTTTTTCGGAGTATATAAGGTCCGGCCTGTGCCATCGGAAGACATCAGTTCCTCTCTCGACTCAAGTCAGTCACATAAATTCAACAAAAGTCAACATGAAGATGGTGTGTGTCTCAGGATAATTTTTATTATTGATTTAAGTAGAACAGTGATAAATCGAGTTCTGAGGATTCATTATCAATTATCGTTATTTAATTATCTGGATGATGAGTGGTGCAAGGCAAAAATTGTAGAGGATTTGTTTTTCATCGGGGATTTTATCAGTTATAAAAGAAATTGATCCTATTCGTCTCTAAAATCACTCGTTAGGGAGATATTTCTGCAATTAATAAATCAAGTGAATTATCGATTTTTTTTCATTTGGTGGTTCGAAAAAAATGTCAAAGGATATCTTTGCTGGAAATTTTTTCAGCTATAAAACATATTTATTGACATTTTTTCTGAACACCCTAATCCCTTTAACATTTGCGAAATTATCACACAAATCGAGTGAATTATAATTCCTTGCTTTATTATTGCAAATATTTCGATACTGAGTGATTTTATTCGAAAATATTGTGGAAAATTTTTGAAATTTTGGGTTAAAACCACTAGTTCTCGAGATATTCTCCAAATAATCAAACATAATTCAATTGACGCAACTCGTTCGCCTCCCCTATAACTTGATTTATCACCCAGTGAATTAATCGGTCCCTGGTGTCTCATAGTTATTTTTTTCCTTCACCCAGATCATTGTCCTCGCCGCCCTCGTGGCCATCGCATCCGCTGCCCCCCAACGCCAGCAACAGGAGGTCGTCGTCGTGAAGCAAATCGAGCACAACAACATCGGCCTCCCGGAGGGATACGGCTACGAGTACGAGCTGTCTGACGGCAGCAGCAGACAGGAGCAGGCCCAGTTCGAGAGCGCCACCGACGAGGAGGGCAAGCCCGTCCAGGCCATCGTCGTCAGGGGTCAATACAGCTTTGTCGGCGAGGACGGAGTGACCTACACTGTCAACTACACCGCTGACAAGGACGGATTCCACCCAGAGGGTGCTCATCTTCCTGTTGGCCCTGTTGCCTAAATTAGCTTGTGACGAAAACGGATTATGCTTTTAAATTTTAATAAATTACGTATTTTACCAAAATTGAGTATTACTATCATTATTTGTCAACAAAATTCCTGATTCTTCCCACAATTCAACTGTACATCGGCCGCCGTACGAGGAAAGCGCAGCAAAAATCAGTAGAAGATTCTGAAAAAAATAAATTCTGATGTTGAATAAAAAATGCTAAGAAAATTCCGTTTTTTAATGATTTTCCAATCATTGAGGATCGTAGATTCGACCTAAAACCTCCGAGATGTGGTGACCAAGATAGGGTGAAGGATGTCCGAAATACCTCGCTGATGATTATTAAGGGGATACGACGGTGAAATTTAAAAGTCTTCACTGCACGGAGAAAAATATTCAATAAAAAATATGTATTTGTTCCGTAATTCCGAAGCGAAATGGGGTTGTAGGAAATTTTACGGACTGTCACGTCATTTTTACCTAAAATCACGGAATTTTTCCAGAGCCTTCCGTAATTTTTACCTGGATCTCCTGTGAAAAATTACGATACCGTCACTTAAATTCTCTGAGTCGATTCCGTAATCGGTGAGCGAACTGTGAGTTCCGTAATTTTTACTGAATTTCTCTCCGCGTGGGCCTCGGGACCCATTGAACAGTTTGTGATGACGGATTATGGGAATAACGAGGGAAAATTGCGAACACCATCGATTTTGCCCCGTATAACCACACGGAGAGAAATATTCAATAAAAATTACGAGAAAAAAGACATAAAAATTACTTTTGGAAACGTAATTTGGGAGCGAAGTAAAATTCAATAAAAAGTGTCAATCGTCACGTAAATTCTACGATCTGTTCCGTAAAAATTACTCATCCGTCCGACGCTTCACGGCTAGCCATGAGTCACCGTGAGGGGGAGATTTTAACAACACGTTCCGTAATTTTTCCGGAACTTTTCGTAAAAATTCTTAAACATCCAAGAATTTTCATGTTTGAGGCATATTAAGTCTTGAAGTTTCTGTTAGATTTTACAACTTCCAGAAAAATTACGTGACTTTTTCGCATTTTTTCGGTGACAGACCCGAAAATTTACTGAACGTTTCAGATTTATTCTCTTATATTCCTATCAAAATTCACTGAAAACGATTCTCGCTTGCGGATTACGTGAAATGTTCCGTAATTTGTCTTGAATATTTATCTCCGTGCACGAAAAACTTCATTTTTTCCTGTTTATGCCTTCAAAATGCTCCTCGCGCCGTAGTTTCCATAGGATTTTAGTGTTTTTCAATGTTCGTTACACTCCAAAGAATAAAGTTAAGAATCCGTGTTAGTCTATTCGCAATGAATTATGAATAAATGAATTTTGAATTTCATAAATTATTCGCGTCTCCAGAGTAGGACTAAAAATTCATTGTTTTTAGTAACTGAATATTCTAATCAGTTCTAATTTCATAATTTTTCACTAAAAGAATTTTATGGTTATTCATATTGAGAATAATCCCGGTTCCCCTTGGCTCCCACCCCATCCAATCATTTCCTATGCCGTCACAAAGATGTGGAACGCTAAATAAATTTCCATTTTTAATGTAATAATTTTCATTGTAATTGTAATTCTAATTTTTATGAGCAACAATGACGACACAATTGTTGAAAATGAGGAGATGGATTTCCTCTTGAACCCGCCTTTTGCTCGTTTATAAAAATTAGACTACGCGTGATTACAATATTCAATTACTAAAAACAATGAATTTTTTTTTTAGTCCTCTAGAGACGCGAAAAATTTATGAAATTCAAAATTCATTAAATGAAAAAGAGCGGCGCGGCGCTCAGCGCGACCAACGGAGTGTTAACACTCCTAACTTAAACTTAACTCCTAGCTTAAAGAAGAGATGAAATTCAATTCAGTAGTGAAGCGGTAAACCGGGTTAAGTCGATTTTGACTTTTGATCAGTTTTTGATGAATATCTCAGAACCTAAGAGAGATAGCAAAATTTTTCTCATAACCTTTTTTGTAGAGCCAATTAAGGGCTATAAAAAGTTCCTGACAAAAATTTTTCCATCTCTTTTAGATTCCGAGATATTCGTCAAAAACTGGCCAATAGTCAAAATCGACTTAACCCGGTTTACCGCTTCGCTACTGAATTCAATAAAATAATATAGAACGTTCAATGATATACGATAAAAGATACGCAAATGATGCGTAAAGTGGCCATTCGGAAGCACATTGCTAATTTATTAGCAAAAATAGCTATGAAAATATGAAGACAAAAGCAATTTCCGACTAGTTTTTCGAATCTTCTCCCCATTTTTGCGGCGATTCCCTCGTATGGTCACCAATTGACAGTAATATAGTGAAAAAATCCGGAATTTCATCGACAAGTAATGAAAATAATGCTCATAATTATGGTAAAACACCTAATTTATTATAATTTAAAAACAATCCGTTTTCGTCACAAGCTAATTTAGGCGACAGGGGCAACGGGAAGATGAGCACCCTCTGGGTGGAATCCGTCCTTGTCAGCGGTGTAGGTGACGGTGTAGGTCTGTCCGTCGTCACCGACAAAGCTGAATTGACCCCTGACGACGATGGCCTGGACGGGCTTGCCCTCCTCGTCGGTGGCGCTCTCGAACTGGGCCTGCTCCTGTCTGCTGCTGCCGTCAGACAGCTCGTACTCGTAGCCGTATCCCTCCGGGAGGCCGATGTTGTTGTGCTCGGTTTGCTTCACGACGACGACCTCCTGTTGCTGGCGTTGGGGGGCAGCGGATGCGATGGCCACGAGGGCGGCGAGGACAATGATCTGGGTGAAGGAAAAAAATAACTATGAGACACCAGGGACCGATTAATTCACTGGGTGATAAATCAAGTTATAGGGGAGGGGAACGAGTTGCGTCAGTTGAATTATGTTTGATCATTTGGAGAACATCTCGAGAACTATTGGTTTTAACACAAAATTTCAAAAACTTTCCACAATATTTTCGAATAAAATCACTCAGTATCGAAATATTTGCAATAATAAAGCAAGGAATTATAATTCACTCGATTTGTGTGATAATTTCGCAAATGTTAAAGGGATTAGGGTGTTCAGAAAAAATGTCAATAAATATGTTTTATAGCTGAAAAAATTTCCAGCAAAGATATCCTTTGACATTTTTTTCGAACCACCAACTGAAAAACAATCGATAATTCACTTGATTTATTAATTACAGAAATATCTCCCTAACGAGTGATTGTAGAGACGAATAGGATCAATTTCTTTTGTAACTGATAAAATTCCCGATGAAAAACAAATTCTCTACTATTTTTGCCTTGTACCACTCATCACCCAGATAATTAAATAACGAAAATTGATAATGAATCCTCAGAACTCGATTTATCACTGTTCTACTGAAATCAATAATAAAAATCCCGAAACACACACCATCTTCATGTTGACTTTTGTTGGATTTATGTGACTGACTTGAGTCGAGAGAGGAACTGATGTCTTCCGATGGCATAGGCTGGACCTTATATACTCCCGAAAAATCGATTCAATCGGGTTCCCCACTCGTACCCCCATTATTTAATCGTTCGTCCTCTCATCTTCCCGAGAGCATTCTGCCGAAATTTTCAGACGTGTCGAAACGCCGCCCGTCTCCTCCCACTATGTCATCAAAAAATCCGATCTGATGCAGAAAATTTTGGGAATACGCTCTTCATGTTTCACTCGAGATTTGGAGGACGCAGCATGAACATGTAGATACTTTGCCACCGCTTTCAACAACAAGAAATTTGTCTCAAGAGGCTGATCATTCGCGAGGAGTACGTGCCATTTCAGGATGAGAATATCTTTCATAAAGTGAAACTCAATGATAAATATTTCGTTCGAAGTTGCAGGATTGCTTTCACATCGTCATTGTTATTATATTAAAAATTCATTTCTTGTATTTGGGGATTGAATAGGCGAAAGGACAAACAAATAGCCACTGTTGAATTATTCATGCAGATCTCTCGAAGCAAAAATATATCCATTTGGATCTTGTATTTTATTTTCTGTTTGCATCAAACAAACATTTCTTGGAGCCAAATAGGCGGGCGAGTGCCGAAAACATCAATTGTTTCGAATTTCTTTCTCAAAATACATGAAAACATGATTTTCTCAAAATGAGAAAACTCTTCATTTGAAATGAATAAATTCAGTAGCGAAGTGGTAAAACGGTACAAAAGTCAATTTTGACTATTGACCAGTTTTCAATAAATATCTCGAAATCTAAGGGAGATAGCAAAATTTTTGTTATAACGTTTTTTGTAGAACGGATTGAGAGCTACAACAAATGTGATTACGAAAATTTCGTTATCTCCGTTAGATTCGGGAATATTCCTCAAAAACTCAACTGGGAGATAGTCGACTTGAACCGTTTTACCACTTCGCTACTGAATTGTTTATTTGATTAAAAATATGCAAATAAAGATTTTTATGTGATTCAAATCAGTCATCTTTCTGGGTGCAAGAGCTATTGAACAAACAAGAATACCGAATTCTTTCAAATCCCAATTTTTGGGAAAATATCGTTAACACCTTCGGAATGTGCATTTCTGGAAATTTAAGTCCACGTGGAAGGTCGATGTATTTATGACGGTGGCATCTTCGGATGTTAGACGTTCAAGGCTCTCGATAAATTATTCAAACGCGTCATTTCGGTTTCGAAAATTGTTGACATTTTGGTGGGAGAAAAAACTTGGCGATTGTTCTCAAAGGTGACTTATTGAATAATAACGCTGATGCAAAATGAGGAAATTGAGGGAAATTGTGAAATTGGGATAACGTAATACGTGGAAGGTGTGACATCACCTACTGATAGATATTTATGAATAATTGAACGGAATTTAGTAGCGAAGTGGTAAAACGGTTTAAGTCTACTTATCTCCCAGTTGAGTTTTTGGGAAATATTTGGGATTCTAAGGGAGATGGCGAAATTCTCGTAATTACATTTGTTGTAGCTTTCAATCGGCTCTACAAAAAAGGTTATAACAAAAC